CTGACACACGCTCTTCCAGGATAGCTGTTGTGACAGACCTGAGTTTTCCAACACCGAAATCTCGTGCAGACGGAACTTGTTCAGTTATCACTTAACTTTAAAAATACTCCTAATGCTATAAAAGAAATCCTGGAAAAATGCTAGTCTTACTCCAAACTGGAATGAAGCTCCTCAGTGACAGACTGAATGTGAAACCTCCAGAAGCTTTTTCAATGATTTGGATAGATGTAGACAACGTTTGTGCAAAAATTGATATTTTTCTCACCAAGATTTCCATGCAAGGAAAAATAACAATGGAAGAAAAGAGTGCGTTTTTTGTGGCTGACAATATTAGAACCTAGTAACAGTCAAGAGTTTTGCCAAGGCTGTCAAGTCACGGAACTCCAGAAGTGTTTACTGGCCTATGTTATATGTAACATTTAGGTCCAGGAATGTTAAAAAATCTTGCAGAATCTGTGAGACCTAGCAAGGTATACATTACGTACTTGCCTGGTAAATTCTGGGTCAAGTCTGCTTTTTGCAACATAGAGAAGCAGGAAGGAACCAATTACTCTTTTTGTCTCGTCTCAAATTAGAAGAATTTTCATGCACAAATTTGTTCCATTTAGCTTTTAAAAATCCTGTAGATGTTTTAACAGGGGCCAAATCATTTATATAACATTTGACCACCAAAAAAAAAAAAAAAAGGAGCAAGGGTATCCTTTCTAGAACCTTCAAACCTATAAAAATAATTTTGAGCCAAATGCCTCTGAACCCGCTCCTCTAAAATTTGCTAAATGATCCCATTAATGGGGGTAAAATGCTTGCAAATTTCATTTGATTCTATCAATATATTTAAAATGTGATTTTCATTTCCCTTTTAATGTAAAAATTAAAAACTTGCCTGTCATCTGGTAAAATTAATTTCCTTATAAATGGCTATATTATTTGAAAATTACATTTGGTGCTACAACTCTTAAACATTTTGAAAACAGAAACTATATAAAAAAGGACACTAAAATGACTTGCAGCATAGATATAATATACAATATTTTTTCAAAAATGGATAATTCTTTTTGTATGCATTCAAAATAATTCATTAAAAGTCTAAAACAGAACAGTCTTAGACAAATAAAAGCAAACACATTATTTATAATAAACTTTCTTATATCTGTTCAGTGGACTCAGGTTTCAAGGAAAAGAATATGCTATAATGAGAATGACTATTTACAAGGAATACGAACATTCTTGAAACATACAGTATATTGTAAACCCCCTTGATTCTGACAATTTGTACTAATTTCCTTTGTTTTTGGCTCTTTTTATCTTTTAATTTTTACCTGTTTTATCCTTTTCTTTCTGTTGGTCTTATGGCTGTAATAAAGATTTGATGTGATACAATCTCTATTGTAAGTAAAAAAAAGATTCCCATAAAAATAAATAAGGCATAAAAATATGATTTAATTGCTGTTCAGAAATGTGGTATTAACCTATAAAGCCCTACATGGCTTGGCTTCCTGCTGCCTTCAGGATCATCTCTTCTTACAGGATCTACCCCTCCTGTACAAACTTCCAGGGAAGTTAAGGAAATGGAGGCCTGAAAGTAATGCTCTTTGGTTGTAACCTGACATTATGGAATAGTTTTTCTCTTTGGTGGTAATCCGACATTATGGAATAGTTTACCCCCAAGATTAATTTGGCCCACACAGTTGAAATTAGATCAACAAGTTCCAGTTTAGCCTTAGAAAACACTGCAATTAATTAAAGGGATCTCCATTTAGTAGTGAAATGGTGCTTTTCCATTTGCATAAAGTAAAAAAAAATCCTGCTTATGTAATATTTGGGTAATTATAGTAGAGTTTGGCTTATTTCTGTTTTGTGATCTTTAAAAAATTCTGACACTGGTTTATATTCTAAGTTAACTGGATGATGGATTTTATGGAAGGATTAAAGGGATGAATGTAGTTTTATGTATTTTTTTTCTATTTTATTGTTGTAAACCTTTGTGATTCTAATGATTTGGTGGTATATAAATTTATTTAATCAAATAATTAGAGAACTGGTAAACAAGATTCCTTGCAATAATTTGTGATAAAGCCTACTTGATGATGGGCATGCTTACAACGAACACATGATCATGGCATCATTTACAAGTATGAAGGGATGGGTGGTTTTTGGTGCCTTCAACTCAGCCTGAACAAGTTCATCCAATTTTTTGACCACATTTTTTTGTAGTTTGCTAGAGCTGAGAGAGTCAGTCTCTAATTTCTAGCCTGGTGCCTTTAACCACTACAGCAATCTGGCTCTCTATGAAGATTTAGTCCTCATTATATGCTGTCTTCCTTTCCTCAAATGCTAAGCCTGATCCATTAAGATTCCCTGAATTCCCAATATTGCTGAGCTTTCTCTAAAGTGTGTATAATTCCCTCCCCTCTGCAATCATGGATGGCAGATACAATCAGATACTCCTTTCACACAAAAGATGCCCTGTGTCTCTGATGAAATTTAAAGCTTCGAACATGTTTTTCTGAGATGCAGATTTTACAATGAACTGAGCTCTCAACTAATCCAATCTTTAGTAGATAACCTGACTGGCCATTCAGACCAATGGTATTTAGAATTTTTCTTAAAATATAAGCACCCTAAAATCACTTACAAATTGCTCAATTCTGTGCCCAAGCTATAAGACTTTGCTATGTTCAGACCTGACAACAGAAGTGGGTAATTCAGTTAATGAGATACTGTTTTCTCAGATTGAATTTGGTTGTTTTAACTTTTATGCTCAAGTAAAATGTTTATTTGTTCATTCAAAGTTGCCTGAAGATACATATTTATCCTGAAAGAATAAAAGAAAGAACAAAAAAACCATACATTTATTTTCTTTAGGAATGTTATGATTAAATGCTGAAATCAAAGTAAATGAACTGAGGATTCTGATACAGGATGGAGTGGAGAATGACCTATTTTTAGTATATAGTATGAAGTCTCCAGACAAACTGGTTTGGTCTGAATAATCTATGAATGTAACCAAGGCCATTCTAATCATAAACTTCACTGATTATGAAGAAAGCTGAGCAATGTATTTTTTACAAAATAATGTATAAAGCTATTAAGCAAAGCTTACTTGACATTAGATCAGTTAAGGAGTTCCAGTTTAGCTTTAGAAACACTGCAGGGAATTTCTCCTAATGCTAGTAATCAAATATTGTTTTGTAAGTGTTTCTAAATCTGAAGTGCACAACTGAAGAACCATTTTTAAATAATAAACATGTTTGAATTAAAAAAAAGATGATGAAATATTGGAAAGCAAAACACTAGCAGACTCTTCTTTATTTCAAGGAATGCTTCAAGTCATCAAATGGCTCCAATAAAATTCATTAGGAAATAAAAATATTGGATTTTTACAGCCCAATGCTTTGCTCGGAAGTGTCCCTTATACTCTGAAAAAGGGCAAGAGTAAGCACAAATATTAAGGAATGTCCTGTGGGCTGGCTGACTTAGTGTGGCAGGTATAGCTTTCAGTAAATACATGCTGTATGGTTGATTATATCTCCCTAAAAGTCATTTTGCATGACAGTATCCATAATATTTTCTCAATATATCACTACTAACCAAAAGAGATTGGCAGGGTGCTTTATCAGTTGGCTGCCATGCTCTCATGGAACTTACTTCATACATTTGTCTTGAAGCAAGAGGTGAACTCAAATTTACATCAGAAATAAAAATTCCCCACTAGAAATACAAATAGCGACTAAAAAGCGTAAGTAGAAAAAAAAATTAATATGAAGTTTAACATACGCTTTTTTCAAACTAACATTTACTGTTTGTCAAATAAAAAAATATATGTATATATAAAAGAAAGAAACTATGGTTTGCACATGTGGCTTTAGTCAGATCGCTGGAACAATTGTTACATTTCAGGATTTTTACAAGGTACCTAGCAATGTCATGCAGGTCAGGTGATTATAATCCTTTTGTGGAATATATAATACAGTAGTATAGACATATACTTCCAGATAATTATAAAAATAGCCATAAAGAACAACAATGTTGTGCCCTTTGTTTACAGAACTATTCATAAGAGATAGATAACAAATGCCATCAGTACCACAGTATATAATATTTACGCTATTTGTGGAATGCCTTCCTTTGATTATTTTATTTCAGCTCTGTTTTGTAGAGATAAAATCTTGATCAGTCTGCAATATTTAGTGCCCAAAGCTACAAATGAGTCTTGTGGCATCTTAAAGGCTAACAGAGATTTTGTTATGATACATATTTCTATAAAATGTAACAGATATGAAAATATGAGGGGCTGAAGGCCTCATTTGTTCTTTGACTGGTATTCATTCCAAGAAGAGGATGAGGCCAGGATAAAAAATGTACAGGGCCAAGATTAAAGCTAAATTTAATTCAATTTACATTTAAATGAAATATAAATACAGTTAATACAACATTATTATTCTCATACATTTATAAATACTCCTTATTATATTAAATTTTATTATTTAGTAGTAATTTTTGAAGAAGTTCTATAATGAGCTCCAAAATCTAAAGTCCAAGTTTCTTACTGTGAATTACTGCTAAGGATGAAATATTCATAAAGTTTAATTCATTTAGTATTATGAACATGAAAATATGCATGAATAAAATAATCAGAGCCAACAAGATTTATAATAACAAATTACCAATATATGGGTGATAACTTTTATAAACACAGAAAAGGTCGTAGGTCTACTTAAATCAATGTGAACTGAAAATACAGTTACTGTAGTATGGACTGATTTATGGAGGCAATCAATACTAATACGTCCTCAGTCAGATCTATAATAGATGGTAACGTAGCATGAAATAAAAGGTGTCAAAAACATTTAAGAAAGTGAATATGAAAAGAGAATGTTATAGTCCATTTCTCTATTAACATATTTTTTGACAATTGCTATTGTATATTTCAGTGATGAAAAGCAGGTGTTCAAATGAGCTAGAAAATTTGATTTAGCCAAAGATTACAGATGTCTTACCATACACGTATCTAGGTCTTCAAAACGTTCAATTTCAGTTAGCTCCTCAACTGTAATGATAGAACGTTTAGTAGATTTATCCTCTGCTAATTCAATGTCCAGTGATTCCTGGTGAGGCAAGGGTTTACCTCGCCTGGTCAAATGATCAGCCTAGAGGAAAGGTTATAGTGGAAGCACTCTTTATAAAATGGAAATATTGATAACAGATAATTCTAAATAAAAGTTGCCAATGAACATGAGTCAAATTAGATGTACAATTAACCATTTGCAAAACTGAGGTGGGCTTGAAGACCATCTATCCAACAGCTTGTTGGATGCTTGAAATCCAGAAACAGAGTATCTGTAAAACATGGCTGTTCAATTTCAATGGTCTCTAGCAAAGCAGAGTCCATCCAAACATTAACTGGTTTCATTGTCATATAAGCTTCAGTGCTCATGTAAGTTAAGCCCATTAGATCTAGTCCTATCTTCTCAACTCTCTGAAAAGAAGTTTCAAGTACTTCCATGTTACAGCTTTTCAGGTACATAAAAAATGCTTGTATCCTTACACTCAAACTTTTCTGTAATTTATCCACTTCCTCATAATATTTGTTTTCTATACTACTGATCATCTCCTTATTACCTGCCTGTTTGGATATGTATTCATCTTTTCTAAAATGTGTAACCCCAAATGACAAGTACAAAATTATTACTCCCTAGCATTTAGAAACTCTTCTTCTGTTAATGCAGTCTAAAATCGCACTAACCTATGTGTATATATGCCATTCATGCTCTGCATAGAATCAATTAGGATTTTTCACATGCATTAATATTTCATTGTCTCCCATGCTATGATTGTCCATTTTATTTATTTTGTTTTAATGAGACTAATTAACCATTCTTCAGAAATTTGCCCTTCTTGACTTGCCTTCTATGTTAGCAATTTTGCATTTCTTTATTAAAATTAGTTTTCCTGAAATCCACCATATAAGCTTGACCATGTTTACTTTTGAGTAGTAATCTGGCAAAATGTTTCTGGAAATATTAAAGTGACATTCAGTTTGACATCAAAATAAACTGATTCTACACAGGATTCACCTACCTATGCTATCTCACTCAGTGTAAACAGAATGATATAGATAAATTACATGTTATGGATCTTGGACAGTCTTTTTGAACAGGGCAGATGAATGCAGCAGAGCAAGCAAATGTTGAACTGTAATACCAACTTAAGTACATGAGGTTGTACAAATACTTACCAGTTTATGATGGCAATGAGATAGAGCATCAAGGATTTCATCTACTATTCGATCTGAGAGAAACGAAGCAACGGTCAGCTTTACTTCACTATGCAAAAATGAAAAATGAGAATACAAAATATGAGTTCACAAAAGAAAATTTATATTACAGGTTATATTATGTACGTATTAGCTAGACATCTTCAGTTCTCCAAAAAGAAGTATGAGAATATGCAAATGACATAGAAAAGTTTCAAGAATAATTATTAATCTTAATTTTAGAAAAAAGAAAAAGAATGTTGCATTAACTCTCACCAAATGACACTAAGGTTGAAAACACAAGGGTGATCAATGAATGTAAGATAAAGTACATGATAAAGCATATGCTACAACCACTTTAATAAATAAATTGGTGTGTTCAGGTTTTTAAAAAAATCATTTATTTCATTGCATTTATTATAGCTGCCTCCTAACAAACTTGGTTAAATCTTAAATGCATTTCATCCATCTTTTTCATAGCCATTTATTTGTACAAGGATTTTTTTTTACTGCTTCCATACTACTTCATATCATTATTGCAATTTATTTTATTACGTAATGAGCAAACAACCTAAACTGAGCTACTTGCATTTATATCAGCGATAGCTTAAGTACTTCATTTTCTTGGTGAGACCCCAAGACTATGGGGGGGGGGTTAATCTGTTTGTTTTAATAACATTATTTAAATGAATAAAATGCCATACTATGACTACATATGATGAATACATGCAATTTACCCAGAATTAATTATACCAAAGTCTGTTGATAATTGCAACAAGTTATGTTTATAATTAAAATCTCTCTTGAATCCAGCTTGACTCTTGTTGAGTAGTGGAAATGTCCTTTTTTTTGGCAACAATATAGAAGTAGTTTGCTGTTGCTTTCTTTTTTGATATTCCAGTCAACCTACAGCCCTGAAATTCCGAGGTGGTGTCATATCCAAGTATTAACTAGGTATGCTTAACTTCAGCTAGGGGCTCAAATGCTAGTAGACAACAATTTGCAAGACACCAAACTAAAATAATATAATTTTAAAACATTTAAATTCAGTTAATATTAATTATTTCAGCTTATATTCCATAAAACTGACTAAAGACTGAAGGGAAATTTGCAGTAAATCTTATGTCTGCAAAGAAAATGAAGTTTGCTTCAAGAAAAAAAAAGTACAAGGCTATTGTACCTATTAGATGAGACAAGTAATAATTGGAATCTAAGGCATTATTTTATAGCACTCTGCTTCAGAACAAGTGTGGGCACCCTGTAGCCCATAGGCAACAGGAGGCTCCCAGCTCTTTTTTTTTTTTTTGCCCTCCTTGGAACCACCTCCCTCAAGATTATCTTGTGAAATTTTGGTGGCAACCTTCAAGTACAGTAATACAAAAACACACATTCTTCGTGCTTTTAAAAGATAAGCAATAAATCATCTGGTTTCGGCTTCCAGCAGAATTAGTAGACTTACCTACATGTATACTCAAGTAGGTGGCATACAAATGCTGCCAATGAATAAATATTTTAACTTACAAAAAGCCAAGCTACTCAAAAATGTTTTTAAAAGTCATAAAAAATCACCCATCTTGTGCCATCACCATATCACCATCACACTTCTTGTGACCTTCAGTAGTTTAAATTTTTAAAAAATCATAATACAAAAATAATACTATAATCTGAAGCCAGAAAAAAAAATTGCTTTTCCATGCCTGAAAGTATAGATGGGAACCGTTTTTAAAGTCTAGAATAGCTAATAGTAAGGTAATCACTATGAATTATTCCAGAGAGAAGTAGTTCTTTTAACAAATCAAGTTATATACTCAGTCCATAGATGAATCTAGAAAGTAGTTTGGCTCACCTAATTTTATTAAGGATATCAACTCCAGACTGCTCCAAGAGAACATTTTTAACAAAGGTCCGAGGAATGGAAATTTTTTCAGTACATGCCTCAATCAAGTCTTCTCTTATATGTGCTTTCTTCATTGCACTTGGACAGAGGTTTTCGGCTGCGTCTACCATTGACTCAAGCAGTGTCTGCAGCAGAAAGTAATGGGAAGCAAACTTTTAAAAGAAAACCAGAGCAACATTTCATTAATAACACCACATGCATAATCTGTATTTTAAACACAAAATTACAAAGCAAATGACAAAGGTTGTAAGAGAATTCAATAATAGCCTTCAGGACTATTGCCAAAGACAAACGATTTTATTAGTTAATATTTCTGAAGCAGCTGTTCATCATACATAGCTTGAATAAAGCATAGTATACTGAATTTATTTGTTTCTAATAACATAAATCCATTTCATTAAAAAGAAATATCTCAAAGCATATTCAAATATTAGTAACAACTCAATCTTTATGTTTTGGTTCATTTATAGTTTGCACAACTTTTTGAAACTTGGGACTTTGATAAAATAACTGGAACAGAAATAAAGTATTTTGGAGTAAACAACGTGAAATGATTTAATGAAGGTTTTCATTAAAAACTTTACATTTTTCTTTTATATAAAAGCCAACATATTTGGTTAAATATGTTTTCTTTTCTCAATTCTTTCAATTGTTTTGATAAAATGAGAAATTACCAATTTCAGAACATATTGTGATATAAAACCAACTTGAAACCATAATGTTCTTAATAAGCACAACTGGAACGACTTACAAGCATCGATATATTGGATTGGACTGCATGTCTATAAGCTTTCCAGGATTTAGCGAAGAGATAAACACTAAAATGTTTTTTATTTAGTCAAAATCATTATATATTTTACTCTGGGCATTTCTAATCGCAGAGATAATATACAACTGAATTTTTTTTTCAGTTGAGATGCTACTAATTTGCCAGGTCTTTCAATCTGCTCCATACAATCAATATTCAGTTTCAAAAATATATTGCTTCAAGTCTGTTTTAAGTTTCTGCTTAGCAATCATAAAATAATTCTGGTGTAAGTCATCTTGCTCAAATACTCTTTAACATTTTTTCCCATATTTTCATTTCTTTCCATAAAGCATAAGCAGTAATATGACCACACACACAAACACATACACACCATAATGGCATCCCAAAGAACAATAAATTTGAAAAAATACCTTGATATTACTGAGGCACAATCTCATATAACTATGAGTTCTATATTTGATTTATTCATTCTTTCGACTAAGGATCTAGATACCAGAAAACTATCTAGTTGAGACCCTAGATAAGGTATAGAAAAAAACCCTGTACACTCTTCTTCCAAAGGATTTAAAAGTACCCTTAAAATTGAACTCTGACATATAACCTTGCAATACTTTCCAAATGCTGCTATTAGATTTAGGTGGAGAAGTATTCTGATCTAATAAAGTAACAAAATGTGGTCAAAATCTCCAGTCATAATTATCCCATCAACGAAGAAAGCAAAAAAGAAATGTTCAAAACATCTATGTAATACATCTGGATAAACCTTTAGAGGAACCATAATAATAAATGCAGGATGACAAAGTGAAAACAGAATTTTAGAAATGTTTGCAAATGTATGAAAAAGGAAAAACTGAAATATCACATCGGCATGAGTATTCAGACCCTTTGCAACACCACTTGAAATTTAGCTCAGGTGCCTTCCATTTCTCTTGATAGTTGCTGAGCTGTTTATACACCTTGATTGGAGTCCACCTGGGGTAAATTAAATTGATTGGACATGATTTGGAAAGGC